CGGGGGGCAATTTTGTAAAGGATTAATACATCAAGATATATTATAAATGATGCTTGAAAACATATTCATTTAAAAGAGTGGAAAATTCACCCTATGAAGAAATTTTTTTATATATATTTATTTCAATTTCTATCCCGCCTTGCCTGACAAGCAGGCTCAAGGCGGTGTACAATAATAATTTACAATAAAAACAGATAAAATTCTAACAATAAAATATAAAGTGCAGATGGTGATTGTTGTAGTTGGCCCCGTATGACTAGACCAGTATCCCAAAGAAAGTGCCAGTAATAGATGTTCAGTAGCTCATTCAGTGGCGGCTCATAATCGAAAGCCTGGTGGAAGAGCTCGGTTTTACAGGCCCTGCAGAACTGTAGAAGGTCCCGCAGGGCCCTGATGTCCTCCGGGAGCTCGTTCCACCAGTATGGAGCTGCCACTGAGAAGGCCCTAGCCCTGGTGATGGCCAATCTTGTATCCTTGGGGCCAGAGACAGTCAGGCGATTCTGAGTCCCTGAACAGTGCTCTCTGGGGAACATGTGGGGAAAGGCGGTCCCTCAGGTAGGCAGGCCCCTGGCCATATAGGGCTTTTAAGGTCAAAACCAGCATCTATAAGCGAATCCGGTATGCTATAAGCAGGGCCTGTAAAACCGATGCCCCACCTGGTCTGCAAAGGAAGGATTCTGAAAGGCCCTCAAATGCACTTGCCGAGCAACCCTTCCCCCATCATTTCAAATATGGCGGCAGATGGGGTCAAAGGAGGCAGTTTGTCCCCTCAGAGGTCACCTTCTCTGCCCCTTTACAGACCTCCTGTCATGATCTGTGCAGGACTGGGAGCAGGGCCTAGTGCGGCCTAGTCCCAGGAGAGACCTGCATGGCAGTGAGCAGACAGCCTACAGTCCCCATAAGGCTTAGCAACGGGCTGTAGCCAATCAGAGAGGGAGATTCTGTGAGGAGTCGGTTGGGAAGACAGTCTGAGAGGAGACTGTGATAGTCTGGTGGGAGAAGGAATCTGAGCTGTGCGCTGACGGAAAAGGGTGTCTTTCGTCTCTCTCTGCGGCCTGATCTTAGTGAGAAGATAGGCTGGGCTGGGAAGAGGAAGATCCCTCCGTCCTTCATCTCTCTCTGCAACCTGATCTTAGTGAGAAGACAGGTTGGTCTGCGAGGAAAGGATCCCTCAGTGTGAGTGTTAGGCAGGCAGGCTGTGGGCCTGGAAGTAAAACAGTTAGGAGTAATAGACAGCTGCGTTAGGTTATGTTTATTTTTCCTTTCACACTGTTATACCCTTTTTAAGCACCTTGTCGTGTCTTGTTTTTCCCTGCCCCACTGTGGTTTTAATAAACCCTTTTTGTGTAATTATTTTCTCTGCCTGGGTCAATCACGCCTGTATTGCTCGGCTGAAAAGGGGCTTGGGAAGGTACCCTGGGCCTCCCAAGGGACCATAAATCCAGGGTGGTGGCCGCGGAACCCAAAGACCCCTCTGGGGTCATGACATGGTGGTATTAGCGGTGGGATCAGCCAGAGATTGACCCGGGGCGGCAGAACACCATTGGTTAATTTTTTTTTCAAAAAAAGAAAAAAAAATTAGAAGGTGCCAGTAAGGCCAGGAGGCCTGGTAACAGAGTGGAAAGGGTTTTTATTTATTTTTAGAACTATCGGGTCAGCAGACAGTTTATGTTTCTTCATTCTGGGAGGCAGAAACCAGAACATACCCCAGTGCTTAGAAGCAAGACTAGAGCAGGGGCTGCAGATCAGATGTCGCAGGAGCAAGCAGACAGAGAGATGGCAGACCCAAGTGCAGAAGTCTTGCGACTCCAGCTGCAAATCAAGCAGATGGAACTGGAGAAAGAGAGGGAAGAGAGGGCAGCTCAGAGAGAGCTGGAAAAAGAGACAATGTTGAGGGAAGAGAGAGAGGGGGCAGCACAAAGACAGCTGGAGCTGGAACGATTGCGGATGACACATGAGCTAGAAATGGCAAGGCTGGAAAAAGGCCCACCTTCACTTCCTCCAGATGCTGACTTGCCAGGGGATAGAAGGAAATATCCTCTGTATAAGGAAGGGGATGACATTGAGGCCTTTCTTCAGAACTTTGAACAGGTCTGCATAGATTACAAGGTCACAGAGGAACGGTATATGGAGAAGCTGAGACCACAGTTGTGTGGAGTCATGGCTTCAGTGTCTGGCCAGATGGAAGGCGAAGCGAGGGCCAACTATAAGCTCTTCAAACAAAGAGTGCGAGAGAGAGTGGGGTTCAACAAAGAAGGGGCCCGGAAGCGCTTTAGGGAAATCAGACTGGAAGGTAAAGAGCCTTACCCACAGCTGATGTATAGGCTGGGAAGAGCTTATGATTTATGGGTAGAGGTTGCTGAAGCCAAGACCATAGATGACATCAGGGCCCTGATGTGCATCGATTGTTTCCTGATGCTTCTTCCAGAGCATATTAGGTGCCCCCTTGTGGACAAGAGTCCTTCCACTCTCCAGGAAGCAGGACAGTGGGCCGAGCGACTGGCTGAAGCCTATGGAGGGCAGAGGTGCAGCAACCCTGGCGACTGGGGTAGGAGGGAGTTTCCTAAGTCCCCACCTC